CTTTGCGCGGCTTTTTTGAATGCTTCTGCTTGTTGGACAAGATTGGTAGGGTTCTGGTCCATTTTCCACATCCTGCAACCTGTGGACAAGCTGAAATCAAGCACCAATTCAGCCCATGTAACATCGGCCACTGTTAACGGATTGTCGGCATCAGGAGTTGTGTACCACTTGAGGTGTCGGAAGTACCATTGCACCGCATGAAAAGCTTCCAGCCCATACAGCCAGAACTGCCGAAACTGCGGCGTAACTTGACGCCAGGTGACAGGTTGTGGCACTGCATGGCTGTGTCCATCTTCATCACCTTCTCGAGGCCAAACATAATCAGGATAGATGTTGGAAAACTGCGCCGCCGGCAGAGCCTCAACAGCCATAGCCTGATCCCTTTCAGCGCCCGGAGCAGCGCTTTCAGGAGGCGGCTCCGGAGGATCATTCACCTGGATGTCCTCCGCAGTGGCCGCTTTCTGCGCCTCCAGGATGTCGACACACATGATCTGTATAGCCCGCACCAGCTTGGCATACTGCTTGTACTGATCAGCAAGATCATCCGGAGGCTTGACGGAGTCAGCTGCAGCGGTGGCCAACCTGTCTGCTGCAGCATTGTACGCCGTGTGGAGCTGGTCTTGCCCAGAGCCCCCTCTGCCATGTGCCGCAACCTTGGTGAACTTGAAAAAGACGGAGCCTCCTTTGGCCTGCCACGCATTGGCTGCGTGCTCCAGGAGATCCGCATTTGCCAAGTCTTTGTAGGAGATGCCCTGCTCAATGCGTCTGAGACCGTCCAGCGTGGCCTTTCGATCGATCAGGATTTCAGTGGGCCTCCACGCCGTCCTGATGATGTGGAGAGCTGCCGCAATCTCAGCACGAGCAGCGTCACGGACAACTCCCATCAAAGGAAAGCTTCTGTTGCAACTGTGGTCCTTGCCATAGTACATCCCACATCCAGCAGATCGTAGCTTTGGAAACTGTGCATGCCGACACGCCCCGTCCGACGCAGTGAGAAGGAAGCCATCGCGAATGACTTCACATTCCGCATCGCCAGGTTCTGTAGCATGTGCAGCGCCATCTGTCGTTTCTGGGGTATAGCTTTGTACAAACCAATCCTCAGCCTCAGTATGCACGGGAGCAACGCCGCAGTGAGCCAAACATCCATGCATGAACCACCGCTGCTGTTCTGTAGTGATGGACTTCACGTACTGCCGCAAGCTTTCCCATCGCGGGCAGGTCCAGAAAAGATGCCAGCCATCCTCTTCTTCATGCCGATCACAGAAAGTGCACCACGGCGTTTCAACCACCTTGGCCCGATGCAGCCGTTGGCGTGTGTAGAGGGCACCCCCCAAACATCGGCGTAGAATCCCAATCCGCAAAGGAGTTGTGACATTGGGGTTGCGCTCCCAAGTGCGCAACAAGGCAACCGTGATGTCATAGTCAACGCCCGCATGCTGGCCAACGTTGTCCTTTCTGTGAGTCCCGTTTGCAATCTTGTCGCGTCTGTAGGATTCCCGCAACTGATGCTCGAAGATGTTTTTTGCCAAACCACATTGTAATGGAACATCACCGGGTCGCTGAAAAACATCATACTGAGACCAGGTCCATCCCAAATCCCGCGCAACAACGTCAAGTCTGTGCAAAATACCACCGGTGACCACTTCGGGGCACTGCTGCTTGAGCGCCCATGCGTGTTGTAGTTTGGATCTGGTATGCTCGTCTCGAACAATCTGGCGTCGCCATAGGCGTAGGGGTTCATGATGCTCTATGGCCTCAACATCGAAACGATGACCTTTGAAGAGAATCGCCAAGGTAATGGCCATGTTTGGCCACATATTGTCGCAATTCCACAAGGTCTGACGCAACAATGCCATGTACTCCTTCTTGGCCTTGTCGGAGTATCCCCCTTGTTCTGTGCCAAAAGCTATGGCCGCGGAGGCAAAAATGTCCACCAAGTAGCCGCGAACCTGCGGAGTGCCGGGTACACTTCGTATTCGGCGCATGACCGTGATGAGCCGCTGAAGTCTCTCATCTTGCTTGTCCTCTGGGAAATCACCGCCAAAAGAGAGAAAAGCACCCAGCAGCTTGCCATAGTCTGCTACCGTGAGCGGTTGCCCATACAGGTTTTGCTGCTGCAAGTGTGCTTTGAGCTCTTCCCCAATTGCAAAAGCGATGGACTTCTCTCCATTCAGCAATCCGCCAGTGTACTCATCGAACTCTATGGTTGCAGCCAAAGCCGTATCAAGAGTCTCCTGGTCTGGCCCCGTTGTGCTGGAGTCATCATAGAAGGAATACGTCACTGCTAATGGGGCACAAGAGGCCAGATCGCGATGCCAAACAGCCATATGCATGAGTATGCTGAGTATGCTCCAAGAGCATCCTTGGGGCAAAGCATTCGTGGCTTGAAACACACGTCCGCAGAACTTGCCGATTTTGAGAAACCTCTTGGTTTGACGACAGAGCCGATTCATGGCAATCCGCACGCCCTCTGGAGCTTGAAAAACTCCCGCCAATCCATCTGTGATGTCAAAGGTGAGGCGATCAAAGCACTTTTCCCTGTCGAAGAGGAATCCCCCAATCGGGCGACCTTCTAGTTGAGCGACCTCAACATCCAAAGAGAGCATGATGGAGATGTCATGCGTGGATCCACCTGCTCTGGCTCCACGCATATTATCCGGCATCCATTGTTCTCTCCACGACTGCATGTGACGGAAACGCAGTGAACTCCAACAACGGTAGAGTATGCCAAACACTGAGATAGGGCGCTGCTTTCCAGGTTTGGAGACGTCCCCCTTCGGCATCAAGCCTATTTGCGCATACGTGAGGCTCTTGGGCCATTGCATGCCTTGCTCGATGGCATCAAAGAAGTCCGCAACAATTTCCCATAAGAAGAGCGGCAGCCGTTGCAGCTCACCCGCTCTCCACCCATCCACGCCCTTTCCAGCATGTAGTGGCAACTTGTGAACCTGTGCCTTCCAATCTCTGGCAGTGATTTTAGGCAGTTTGCAAGGCTGGCACGCAGGGAAAGTGTGCCCATATCGCTGCTGAAAGGCTTCCCAAGTGGGCGGCGTATCATGAGAGTACAGGTTGAAGAGCTTAACCCAGAAATCCTCAAGAGACAGAAGCATATCAGGAACTGCTGACTTGACCCCGTCCTCCGCAATCACGTGTGTGATAGGTCGTTGTTCTCGTTGGCGAACCCATTTGCACAAGACACTGCGGTCATTCCGGAAAGATTTTCGCAAAGACTCCCGCCACTTTTGGACTCGACCTTGTGCTTGCCGCTTGGCTTCCCAGTCGAATCGTCTGGCAAGAGCATCAACTATGGCCTGCATATCCTGGATTGCTGGTTCGGCGTCCGTCCACCACCTGTCCCAATCTGCTTCAAGCAAACCACGACCCTTGCGGCAGAAACTTCTCCATGCCTCAACGCGCTGTCTGTAGTCAGCCCCGGAAATAGGTCTGCCTTCCGTGTGCCAACGAACATGTCGGCGGGACTGGGCTAGATAAGACCGGCCCTGCTGTAGAAGCTTCTGAAGTTGTCTCAAATGCATGGTTTGAGCTCCCCCGTTGATGTTTTCCCTCGGCGCCCTCGAGCTGAACTGGTCAAACCTTGGAGGTTGGCCACGACCCAGCGACCAAGTGCATGGCAGCTCCTCAGCCAGAGCTTCGAGAAAGCATTCCAAACCATGATTTAGCAATTGCCATGCTCTATCAGCCCGACCCAGTTGTAGTGCATCCCGATATGGAGCCTCTAAGGGTTGCCAAGTGCGTTGGCCCATTTCTTCAAGGGTGGCATCGTCATACTGGGGCATCTTCTTCAAGGGAAAGGGCCTAGGCTGACGCAGCGTGTACCCTTCCTCTCGAAAAGCTGTAAAATTGAACTCCGCCTCAAGCACAAGGTGGCCTGGAAGGCCAGCATCCCTGACCAGCCGAAAATCACGCAATGCACTGAGCGCTGTAGAGTTAACCAAAATGTAGTCAATTCGGGTAGCGCCCGGTATTGCTGCATGTTTGTCCCACTGAGGGTCTTGGCAATACGTGGGAGCCAATCCTCCAGCATGACCAAAAACCTCACCCGCATCATGCCATCTGGACGTAGACAACGCAGTGACAAGGGTAGGTGACTTATCGACCTGAATGTTTGCGTCCATACCGATGATGAAGGGCACATCCCCGTATCTAGAGGCCACCTCAAACACTTGCTGCAACATGCGTTCGTTACACTCAAAATGCTGATCTCGCCGATGCGGGCTTCCACCTCCAGCAAGACCATAGAAGCTGGCAACCATGATGGAGCGATTCCTGGCCAAAGGGACTCGTGCCAGCGCAAACCGCTGCCGCTCCCAAAGATTGCGGTCCGCATCATATGAGGTATCATGTGCCAGTGTAGACTGCGTGGGCAACCGTGACATGATGGAAACTCCTCCATGTCGACCGTTCCAAATAGTGGGCTTGATGTATCGCTGTCCTCCCTCCTGGAGTTCCTGGGAACTTTGAACCGGAACTGGGGCTCCATGAAGTAAGTGGCGACCTGCGCTCCTTGCAGTGGTAGTGGCTTGCTGTTGTGCCACTGCGGTGAGCCGACTTTCTTGCATTAGTACCACATCTGCATTCCATGACAGCAACTCCGGAGCATGTGGTCTCCAAGCTGTGATGTTGCAACTGCGAATTACAAATTTGCTCTCCACCGGGACGTTGGGCGCCTCCGATGGTATCACTTGCGGCAGGCCTGCATCATAACAGCTTCGGCTTGATGTCTCCCTGCTTTGTTCCCCTTGGCGAGATCCATGAGAAAGATCTCCCGACCCCAATGCGATGTCACTCCTAACCCGGGAGTTTGTGTCCTGGGATATCAAAGGTGTAACCCGACCACTCTGCTGCCCATGTACTCGCCAGGCCGTCTGAGATGTTGCCATCACTCGGCCCAGGTCACCAAACATAGTAAGCAGAATGACAAACCAAAGGCAAATAGCTCTGCGAGGTCGGCGGTGTCCCCTTGCCGAAGCCCCCCCGCTTCACTTCGAAAACTTGGCCCTCTTTTCTGCGACGAGCTCCTCAAGCATTCCCTGGATGTTTCGAAAGCGGTCATCTGTGCTGTCCGCTTTCTGTTCCACCTGGGAGATCCTCGCATCCATCGAGTCGAAACGTGCCAGAATTGTTTGATGTCGCTCATCAGTCATCTCCTCATCTTCCTGCGTCGGCTTGGCCGTTTGGGCAAGCTGCAGTTGCTCAATGCTTGTCTGCATGTTCTGCACCGTGTCCGTGAGCATCTGCACCTGCTGCTGGAATTTTGTCTCCAAGCCCGCATACCGTACCTCATGCACTTCGCGATGTGGTGTAGCCGTAGCCTGTGGAGTGGCCGCGCGTTGCTGCGGGCCCCGAATCGTCACCGGGGTTCCAATGGCACCCTTCCCGATCTGAGTGATGTTGAACCCTGGCGGGGGAGGTGGCGGGAAAGTGGAAGTTCTTGCCGATGCTGCCGCGGGCGGGGCGCGGACACTGTTGGGCAACTCATTTGCCCCTGAGGCCTTCAAAGCAACAGTACCCACAGGCTGAATCTCTACCAAGAAATCACCCGATGGCGTGGGCATCGTAACTGCTGTTTGCGCTGGCGCTTTGGGTGCTCGCACCTTGGCATGGCGAGCTTGCTTGTACACGTAGAAGTCCAAAATCGCACACTCGAAGCCCATCTGGGTGTTGAGCACTGTCTGGGCCTGATCACGCGAAAGGTGCAGCGGA